TCCCTTTAGGAACTGAGTGCTGCTTATTTAACGATATTTTTAAGTGCGAGGAGCATTCAATGTTTAGCTAACTTCCGGATATTACAGAGCGCGGCAAAGGCGTAATGATTAAACACAATTTCAACAGAATTCACTGAACTTCGTCGAGTGTAATTTCGTTTCCTTACAAAATAGCTCCCAAGTTAATAGTCAAATTTCATTCCAGCTTAAATTATTGCTAATTTCCTTAACATCTGATTACGAAATTTCTATTTTCTTGTACATTACTGATTGAAGAAATGCGTTTAATGCAAATACCGAGCTTTAGTAAAAAAAATACAACTCTCATTACAATTCCTTAAAAATTCCCGATAAATGTCAACATCATGTACAGCAAGGGGTATAAATGTAATCATTAAAGATCAGCCAGCTCCAAGAATTAGAAGCTTGGTAAGTCCAAGCCTGGTCATATTTACACCGTAGAGGGCTATGGCGGTTATATGACGCACAGCATGAAACTTGTTTATTATTTTTATTCTATCGCTGTTAAATGATGCTCCATCTGCTAACTTTACAACTAGCAGTAAGCTTGACATATTTATGATATTGCCCACTGACGGCTGTCTTTCAAATTCCTAGCTAATAGTTACGTATAAAAAGAGAAGTTCTACAAAGCTTACATGAAATAAATATTTAATGGGTACTGATCAAAAACATTAACAAAGTTTGACCGTCGGATGAAATAACAGGTGGGCTGAAAAGTCCGTATCGTTTCTATGAGATGGCGCCACCAGAATAAAATCCATACGCTTCTTAGCTAGTACCAACCTTCAAAAGATGCCTGTCAAAATTTGACAGCTGTCGGATCATTAGTTTTTGAGTTATCGTATCGAGAGTGACGCTACTTTTGTTATTTTTGAAAACCATGGAAAGTCAAGAGTTTCGTGTGTTAATGAAACATTATTTTTTGATGAAAAAAAGTGCCGTCGAATGCAAGAAATGGCTTGATGAGTGTTATCCGGACTCTGCCCCGGGCGAAGCAACCATTCGCAAGTGGTTTGCTAAATTTCGTACCGGTCACATGTCAACTGAAGACGACGCACGCAGTGGACGCCCAAAAGAGGTCGTTACGGACGAAAACGTGAAAAAAATCCACAAAATAATTTTGGGAGACCGCAAAATACGGTTGATTGACATAGCTGAGGCCTTAAACATATCAAAAGAACGTGTCAGTCACATCATTCATGAATATTTGGATATGCGAAAGCTCTGTGCGAAATGGGTGCCGCGCAATCTCACATTTGACCAAAAGCAACAACGCATCGACGACTCTGAGGCCTGTTTGGAGGTGATTTTGCGCAATAAAACCGATTTTTTTCGCCGATACGTCACCATGGATGAAACATGGCTCCACCACTACACACCGGAGTCAAATCGCCAGTCGGCCGAGTGGACGGCTGCATCCGAACCACCTCCGAAACGTGGAAAGACGCAACAGTCAGCAGGCAAGGTTATGGCCTCTGTTTTCTGGGACGTGCAAGGAATTATTTTCATCGACTATCTTCAAAAGGGCCAAACTATCAACAGCGACTATTATATAGTGTTACTGGAGCGTTTGAAGGCCGAAATCGCCAAGAAACGGCCACAAATGAAGAAAAAAAAAATCTTGTTTCACCAGGACAATGCGCCGTGCCACAAGTCCATGAAAACGATGTCGAAATTGCATGAATTGGGCTTCGATTTGCTCCCCCATCCACCGTATTCTCCGGACCTTGCTCCAAGCGACTATTTCCTCTTCTCAGACCTTAAGAGAATGCTCACCGGAAAAAAATTTCACAGCAACGAAGAAATCATCGCCGAAACTGAAGCCTATTTTGAGGACAAGCCGAAGGATTACTACCGGAAGGGTATCGAAAAACTTGAAGAACGTTATAATCGCTGTATAGCCCTTGAAGGCAACTATGTTGAATAATAAAAGCGAATTTTGACGAAAAAAATATTTTTTCATTGAAACGATACGGAATTTTCAGCCCACCTGTTATACTCGTACTTCATGGGATTGTTCAAGTAGCTCACAGGTGGATATCACACGACCAGTGTTTGCGGTGCCAGTTACACAGTTATACATCAATAAATCCTAATGTCCTCGCTAAATGGTCAATAAATATCACATTCCATGATAAATGTTGACGATTCACTGGTTCACATCTTGGTTAATCTTTTAGGTAAATGTCCCAATCACTCAAAATGTTTCAAGATATTAAATTTAAGATCATAACGATAAGCAAGTGGAAGTACCTTATAATAAACCTGGTGCGCAGAATCTCAAAGCACAGACATTATATTCGAAGACTGTAATGTTAATGACTGAATAGAAGTAGGAGTTCAATATATAGTTATGTCACTATACTTAACCTTCACTGGCTGACTTTCCAGATTGAAAACTTTGCCACCCTATACCTCAAATGTTAATACGCTTAGGATATTCGTCGACATGAGGTTTCCTTCTTAAAATGGATCCAATGATCGCCCCTAGATATTGATATTCAATTAGTATAGTACATAAGTCAACTTTCATAACTTCTGTTACTTTTATTATACAACGGATATTAAAATCCTTGTGAATCTACATAAGGGCAGTCGAGTAGAATGAGTATCGGTAATAAACTGCATTATGTCCCGCTTTTTCAGTCGCTGGTTAACTTTCTTTGTAAGTATAAGTTGGAATTTATTAGTTGTCGGTAGACTCTTTTTTTCTAAAGTTCTGGTTAAACTGTTGATCTGTAGACGCTGCTTCTACTTACGTGTGAACAATCGTGTTCTGTACGTTTTGTGACGCTTGACGTTTGTGACTCGTCAGTCAAGCATTGTGGCTTAACTACAACTCCTTGATGAACCTGCAGATGGCCTTCTGGTTAAAGTTAGCAACCGTTTTAGTATAAACCTGACATTTAAAAACGCATTTTTAAAATTAACTTGTGGTGAGAGGAAAATCACAGTTAACCTGCAGTTGAAAAACCTGACCTATATTGCCGCTGCGATCGCATGCGGTTGAGAATCACGTGCCGTTTTCTTTCAATAACTTCGCAGAACACTTATTCAGACTCTATTAGGGTAATGCCTAACTAAAATCAATGCAAGGATAAGAGTTGAATGAAATCCAGAATTTAAATTAATTAAAACTAAAATAGTTCTGAAGTTTTAGTAATTCAAGTTTCTAAGTATTGGATATTGTTCGAGAATTGGAGCAGTTAGATGAAGTGGCCTCCATTCAAATAATCGGCCGTCTTGAAATCAGTAGTAACCATTATATCAATGTATTTTCTCGAAGTTGATTATCAGCATATTAGCAGATGATACAATGGGAACTGCTTAGGTAACAAATATACAGGAACATAAATATACTAGCGGCATCTCTGAAGCGGATGTTACGTCGCCTCAGAACCAAATCACATAACTCAAGTTTCATGACGTTTAGGCAACACACAGCTAGTATAAGTAAACGTGGAATGAACGACAGCTAGTTCCAAGTTGAAATTTTTTCGGAAATCTTGTTGTTAGAATCCTACATAATGTCATAAAAAATCGATATAATGTCACTTCTTAAGTTACGTATTAGGGGTGCATGATAAGGAACATTACTGACGCTGAACCATTCGAGAAATTCAAAATAGGGGCCATACTTTTATAATTGGACTAAAATTTGCAAATAAATGAATCGTCAACCCAACCCTTTAAATTTTGATTTCATGTATTTTGAAAGGTTACCCGATCTGCTACTAATACTCATCGTTGCTTCTCAAGGCGGTCCGGAGGACCTTAGCCTTCAGGTCATAGTCACTGTGATGTCAGTGTCTGTCGTCAGTCTGTCAGGTCTGGTGGCTCAGAAACCAGACAAGTTGTGGGAGGTTACCCAATCATTACTGCTTTCATTCCAGATCAAAAAAGGTGAAATAGACAAAGAAAAGAGACTGGGTAATGAATAAAATAATATAAGGAATCCAAGAGTTCATAAGACACCATCATTATTATTCCCAGTCTAAATATCTGCGACCTTTCATTAGATTATCGCCATGATTTAAATTACATTTGATGTACAAAAAGCTAGGTAGGTATAATAGAAAAATTCATCTTATACCCGCTTAACAAACAAGCGAAAAAGTCGCCTCCTTTTCATCATCTTGTGGTTGTTTTCTTTAAATTATACCGTTTTTTATTTACCTCGAGCCGAGTAATCTATAGCAGCTTCAGGCAGTATACCCATTAAACTCGCAGCGTAAAATGAGGAAAATATAAAATTGCATCCACTATACTTCGTCAAATATTAATGTCTTCAGCACAAAAGCTTCATAATAACGATACCTCAATTATTGAGCTTAGCTTTGTGCTATTTTCCAAGTTTCTGGAATTACTTGTAGAAATACCGAAACTTACAAGAAAAATAATTGTACCAGTCAAGTATGAACAAACGTGAGTACGTAAGGATTATACCAATAATACTATGATTCAGATAACACTGTTACAAGTTACAAGTTTGAATTACTACAAACCACTTATTTTCGGTGTTTTATTTTTCATTCGCACTAGTCACAATAGTTTGACATTTTAATGACAGTCATGATAATAATATGATACGAGTGGTACAGCTCTTTATATCCTTTGGGCTTCATCAGCATATACGTATATATGAACCCAAACATGACAAGGGTAACTGCCTAGATAATATATTTAGTAATTGTGCCTCCAGTAAGGCTGAAGTAGGGTGCTTGGGATTTTCAGATCATTGTGCTTTGAAAATAAATATCGATGCTCAAACCACTCCCTAAGAAAATGACAAGATCTTTAGAATCTATAATAAAGCCCAATATAACTCATTGTCGTTTTATCTTTCAAAAGAAACCTGGCACGATGTGTATAATGCACATTCCGCGGAATCTAAATATACAGCATTTCATAATACTTTTTTTAAATAATACAATATATATAATGTTCACAAGGTATATTCAAAACAATAATTCCAGGATGAAAAGATGGATTACTCGAGAAGTGGTGGAGGCTACGGATAGGTTAAGATTTTATTTTGAGGTTAAACACAAATATCCTACAGAAGGAAACAAAGAAATATATAGAGATTTTAAGAGACAATATAATAAGATATTAGCAAAAGCAAAACAAAATTACAATTTAACTAGATTGGAGGAAAGTGACAATCGTAACTGTCTGGGACATAATAAATCTAACAACAGGTAGGAAAAGCAAGATTAAAATAAATCCTGAGGGTATTACTCCTAATGAGTTAAATGCATCTTATGTAAGCTATGCTGGATCACTCACTGGTAAGCTGCCAAGTGGAAATCTCAGTGTCCATTTATATATGGATACGGCTCTGGAACAGCCAAAATCTATGTTTTTTAGGCCAGTTGATCTTTATGAATTGAGGCGAATTATAAACAAATTAAAAAATAAAAAGTCATAGGATGTTTTTGGAATGAATGTGTTTAGTTTTAAGAAGGTAGCCGAGTTAGTACTGTCACCACTGGTAGATGTAATAAACACTTGTTTGGTGAAGGGTTCATTTCCATCTCTTTTAAAATCTGCTAAATTAATCCCGCTCTACCAAAAAGGAGCGCTGAATCTTCCTCAAAACTTGAGACAAATATCTATTCTGCCCCCGGTTTCGAAGCTGTTAGAAACGGTTATTTTTGATCAACTTGTTTCATTTTTTGATAAAAATAAAATCATTATTCCCAGGCAGTTTGGCTTTATGAAAAACAAAACGACAACAGATGCCATACTAACTTTAGTAAATTGTATAAGGCAGGGCTTTGAAAATAAAAACAAGTTTTTGGGACTATTTACTGATCTGACTGCTGCTTTCGATTGGGTGAATAGAAATATTTTATTAGAAAAACTTCTATTTTATGGCGTTAGGGAACTGCTTTAAAGCTGATGCGATCCTATCTCTCAGACAGGTTCCAGGTTGTTTGCTGTAATAATCGAGCTAGTGAACCTATGCTTGCAGAGACCGGTTGCCTCAGGTTTCCGTGTTGGGGGTCCACTCCTCTTTCTCATATTGTGAATGATTTGCCGCAAGCATTCAAAAACGAACATGGTAAAGAGATCATACTGTATGCCGATGATGCAACATTTGGAATTGCTGTAGAGAGGGGCGTGGACGCAGCGCGGATGCTGGGGATCATCCTGGATCGGGCTAAGGCGTGGTTTGTCACAAACCAGCTTGTTCTGAATGAAGTAAAAACTGAAACTCTTTGTTTTGAAACTAAACCTGTCAGTACGGTTGGAGAAATGACTAAAACTAAATTTCTGGGTGTAGTGTTGGACACTAGTCTGTTGTATAATGACCATGTAAATATTTTATGTAATAAATTAAACAGGGCAATTTATGCTATACGGCAAATAAAATATACCGTCAATGAAATAGCTGCACTTACAGCTTATCATTCTCTTTTTGATTCTATTCTACGTTATAGACTTTTAGTTTGGAGCTCTGCAGCTAATATACATATTGAAAAAGTGTTTAAAGTTCAGAAATCTGCAATAAGGTGCATTGCTAGTTTAAAGCAACATGAATCGTGTAGGCCTTGTTTTAGATCAATGAATATAATAACTTTGTATGGCCTGATTATATATGAAAAATTAATATATGGCAGAAAAAACATTTCAGACTTTTTTAAGTGTGCAGATTTTCACTCATACAACACAACACATTGCAATAATCTGGTACTTCCAACAAACAGATTGGGTAGAACCAACAGTGAAGACATCAAATTGTACAATGCGTTGCCAGATGAGGTGAGATCGCTTCAGCTGAGCAGATTTAAATGTAAATTGAAATCTGTATTAACTAGGGCCTGGATTTCCAGTTTTGAGAAATATTATGCTTTGGCAAGAGACAGGCAGGCCTTCTTGAATAAATTGAATTGATAATTTAATAATGTTCTTGATATTTTGCTCGACTTTGTAAAATCATGTTAGTGACTTCTTGTATATTGAGTTTATTATAGTTAGAGTACTTTTATATCTGCGCTAATGCACTTTTCTTTTTGCAATACTGACATGTCTATGAATACTTGTGTATTTGTTCTATGATCAATAAAGATTATTATTATTATTATTATTACTGGTAATAGACACCTTACTCATGCAGGTTTATCCATGATACCCAAGTGCGGAGTCACATTACTTTAGTTCAGATCTTGGTGGCAAAGTCAATTTAGAGCGTATTTCACTAAGATTTAAATTTGACCGAGGCTTCCACCGATAAGGGCCTATCAAAATGCAATTTGATGGAAGATGTCAATGTTCTATCAGTAATATCAGTAATTTCTATTGAATTGTTGAATAAACTCGTTAAAAAGCGGTTGCTTAACAAATAAGAGTACATTATAGATGTAATATTATGCCCGTTTCTATCATTTCATAAAAGATGCATGGCAATCTACTTTTGTCTCCATATCACATACAGGGTGTTGCATATACGTATAATAGGCACCTGTAGAAATGTACCGATTTTTTTTATTTTGCAAAAAAGGATATAACACGTATTCCAACTGGTTCATCATCTTTTGTTACATCAAAAACAATTTATTGCCAATTTATGATTTAGAAATCTACACCAAATGTAAACAAACAGCACGTTCTGCATTCCTGGGTCCTAAAACATCGAAATTTGTAAATGTATGCGCAAATCCGCATCTATGACTATGCAAAACGTTTATTATTGTATTGAGGGTGCATACAACATGTTTTTTTAGGGCTTCTATACTACAACTTGTACGATGTGCATACTGGTCGCTCTTTCAAAGTCCTTTGCAACCATCCTGGAAACCTTTATCGATTCTTGCTTATAGGATTGTGAATATTTTTGTTTTACCCCTGAACTCACGAACTCACCTCACATTTTAATTAAATATTTATTTTGAAAAGAAACAGGTTTCGGTTTCTTTATTGCTGGTCCAATGATGCGGTAATGACGGTAATCTACCAGTCTGCGACTTTTGTACGCACAAAACTCGATTCAGGCAAGCGCAGTAAGGGATATGGATGTGCGTTCGTAATCATAGGCAATTCAAATCTACGCCTCCCGTATGACCGACTGCCTGAGTGTGTATGCATATTTATGATTGGTATGGGGCATAAAACTACGAAGACTGCATAAAATTGACTTTTAGGTTTATTTTCGGTTCCAACTCTTTTTGGCCAGTATGGAAATATTTGGATTATTTTCAAAAATCGTGGAAAATTACGTTTTCGGTAAATATTCTCATTTCAGTAAAAATAACAAGACATCCGGTTCAAGTCCATGAATAGACAATCTGAAACGTGCAATATAGATTTATATTCTTGATTCTGTGCATATCCATTCATATTCGTCAGTATTTTATTTGAAGCTTCTATTTTTCCTAAGATGTTAGCAAAATGTAAAATAGTAAGGCAACACCGTACCCTGCAGCCTAAGCTGAAAAGTACCGATGTGTATTGATTCTAATCGTTTTCGGAAGTAGCGATACTCTAAAATATCGGAATGAAATTATCGACATCATAAGTATCGATACCTTTCGATACGGAACATACACTACCGAAAAGTTGTTCTTTCTACAACCCTCAAAATTGTTTTCAACTGCACGACTAGATAGATTGTCAAATACGTTCACTAATAAAAGTAGCTCCACAAATCACTTCTTACAGGAGGCATCACTATCACAGTAATGTTTTGTTTTAAACTGATACTAAAAGTACTGTGTGTCATGTGTGTAATTCCCTGAAACCGATTCCAACCGGGTTGCCAGATCGCTTAGCTTAGTTTCCCAAATACAAATGTAAGAATTAATTAAGGACTTTTCAAAAAAAAACATTTATATTTTGTTGCCATAGGCTTACAATTTGTTAGGTATTCTTGGAAATTGAAATGTTTCTTTAAGCGACTTATTTCCGTATATCGATAAATACCAAAAAGGTAGAAGTTTTAATTGTTTCGAATCGACAGACAAATACATACATAACCAGCACATTATGTAATGTCATTAATGAAAGTTTACATAATACCTCCTGAGTAAAATATGTTTCCCCAAAAGAAATTCCCCGAAAAAAATATTCCCACAGTCTTCCCCACTGAAACAAAAATACCTTAATTTTTCGGGAAAACCCCCTAATGTGGCAACCCTGGAATGCAAAATAAATTATGTGAGGTCGTGAAGTGATTAGAACAAGCGGAAGGAATCAAAGGAGAAAAGTAATCTGAAGTTAGTCACTCTTTCCGACACAGTCGAAAGATAACGATACTCGTGAAATGTATCGATACATCCAAGTGTCGTATATAAAGATATCGATCCAAAATATCGGGTATCGGAAGCAAAAGTATCGATACTTCTAAATATTGGATCGTATCGAACATCCCGACTGTCAAGATGTATAACCCGAGCTCCCGACGGAGCCATTTGGAGCGTCATGGAAATAATTTGCATTTTTTCAAGTGCTGTGCAACGATTTTTTGAAAAATTCCACGTATAGCCTTATAAAGTATATGTAGTAGAGTAACTTTCAACAGTTGGCAGAGTTTTGAAATACCAGGAGATAATCAGCTGTTATTGAAATAATGTCTAATATAACCTAGAATGTGTACCTACTCGATGAAAAAAGAAAATTATTACAAATTCTAGTTTTTTTGCAGGTTTTAGGTTTGCTGGTAGCTTCACGACATATATTTGGGTGTCTCTGAATCGCTGTAAATATAGTGTGGATGTTGGTTCACTCCCTGAACAACGAAAAATATTCAACTTTATGGATATATGGATATCAAAAGTCCAGAATGGTTTTGTTAAATGATGTTAAATCAGTAAAATCGTATATCAATTGAATAAAATAATATAAACATGAATAAACATACAACAATAGTAAAAAATACATGAATTTTATTCAAAAATCAAAAAGTTTTTTATTTTTGACTGAATTATATATGTAATTTCTTAATATTCAATAAGCTAGTGATGCATCAATGATGAACTGTCATCGGATACTTTGACAATATTTTGTTTTCAATATTTATTAGCTATTGGTTGCTAAAAATTGTTGAATGGATCATTCGCTATATTTGACAGACTGTCACCCTGGAGAATAACGGCTGGTTGATTTGACAATCCTGGTAAAATCCGCCCTTAGTCTGGCTGAGCTCATTTAAACTTCAATACAAGTACCATCGCTAGATTTAGTGATCTGTAGAGACTCTACGAGGGAACAGTTCAACTAGACCCTCGATAATTCAACCTTAAAAATGTGGATTATTCTGCGAAATAGCAGGAGGGTAGTTGAGGAAAGTTGCCGTACGATGGTACGCTCTAGAGTCGGAGTTTCTGCACTCAGAACAATAAACTTACTGCCTCTTAGAAGGTATATCGCAGTATTTTATCTGGAAAGTTTAGCGATTTTGCATTGATTTTTTTATAGTTATATACATTTAAGGCAACCCAGAAGACTAGTGTTTAACGCCAGGTCTTTACTAACACAATCACCGTGAGCAGCGCTGGTTCGAATCCCGTCTTGAGAGATTTTTCTCTTGACCATGGCGTTGTGATTTTTCATATGTGGTAGACGGTCTCCGATTGTCGAGCATGTAGCACCATCCGGCCGCTCTCCAAGGTGGAAGCAAAGTGTGCATGTACACGTGTTTTACAGGTAGAATCATGTGATGTTTTCCATTTCTCCTATTTCCCGCTATACCCCCTTGGGATCTAAGGGTATTCAGGCCTTTAGCGTGGTGGCTTAAGTATAAAAACTGACATTAGGATGTGCCTAGAAGAAGTATAACAAACTATTTCTTGTTTACAAACGAAACCAGCGATCCATGTGCGAATTCCTTGGCTACCGGAGCTGCCATAATATAAACTAAGTGACATATAAATCCGAACACCCAGTTTAAATGGTTTTATTTTAATAAAATTTTGTATAAGTACTTAATGAAGCATAATAAGTAAATGATCGAGTGCAACCAACCCCTCGTGCCTTTGTTAATGTAATACAAAAGGCTCGTGAATCAGGTGACTTAAGACCTCACAGGGGAGGGTATGCCGGTGCTCCAAGACCGCACGATCAAATACAGGTCCGCACTGAAATACTTGTCGGGAGGATACTTTATAAAACAAGGTAACATTTTTTTTTATTTTTTTTATTTTTACACACATATTTTGGTTTATCTTCCCTCTACAATCATCACCATGTATATATATATATATATATATATATATATATATATATATATATATAATACAATTAATTGTTAATTGGGAAATTGACAAAACTCTTTTGACGATAAAATCAAGCTTTCGGCATTCTCTATGGAGCCTTCATCAGGATTCTGAAAACACAATTGTGATGCTAGCAAAGAAAACAGGACAAATTTAAATTGTCAGACAACTTACTCGTCAGTGAGGTTGCAGCCACAAGGTGTTTCAGAACGAACGTAGAGAAGATCTAAATTATAATCAGTATATATATACTAAGTGACATATAAATCCGAACACCCAGTTTAAATGGTTTTATTTTAATAAGATTTTGTATAAGTACTTAATGAAGCATAATAAGTAAATGATAAAAATTTCAAAATGATTGCACTGCTTTGAAGCCCTTTTCCTTTAATAATGTGTGGATGCACCCTGATGTGCTACGCATTCTCCAACGCGCCTAGGCATGCTTCTGATCAGGTGGTCAATGTCCTCCTGTGGTATCACATTCCAGGCAACCACCAACTCCTCTCGAAGTGCTTCTAGAGTCTGAGGAGGACGTTGCAAATTGAGCAATCTCCTACACATCATATCCCACACGTGCTCAATTGGGGAATCCACAGTTTTTTGTTGAAAGACATGTTCATCACACTGTTGGCGTTATGGTTTGGGGTGCTATAGCTTATGGTTCCAGGTCACCTTTAATCTTCATCAGAGGTAACATGAACGCGCAGCGTTATATCCACGAAGTTCTAGAACCCCATCTTTTACCCTATCTTGACACCCTGGCAGATCCAACTTTCCAACAAGATAATGCCCGACCACATGTTGCAAGAGTCACAATAGACTCCTTTCAACATAATGATGTCACATTGTTACCATGGCCACCAAGATCTCCCGACTTATCCCCAATTGAGCACGTTTGGGATATGATGGGTAGGAGATTGCTCAATTTGCAACAATCTCCTCAGACTCTAGAAGCACTTCGAGAGGAGTTGGTGGTTGCCTGGAATGAGATACCACAGGAGGACATTGACCACCTGATCAGAAGCATAGGTAGGCGCGTTGGAGAATGCGTAGCACATCAGGGTGCATCCACACATTATTAAAGGTCAAAGGGCTTTAAAGCAGTGCAATCATTTTGAAATTTTTATCATTTACTTATTATGCTTCATTAAGTACTTATACAAAATTTTATTAAAATAAAACCATTTAAACTGGGTGTTCGGATTTATATGTCACTTAGTATATTTATAAAACGATTCATTTACTTAAGCAGTTTTCACGGTTTTAGATGGGTACGTGAAAAAGTACATACGTTTATATATTATATAAACGTATCGTATCAAGACATTAATCAATTTCAAGCGGATAACCAAATGAAAATGGTATTTACCATTTTGTGACGTCATGAATCAGCTATTATATGTCATAGTTATCACCGCAAAATTGTGGTATTTACCCAACTCGGGAGTAGTTTTATATTTCTGGTTATTATTTGACATGTGACTAGTTAGAATTTTGCCGGGTACTGGATATTTTTATTGTACTTCAGCTTCATTTTTGGGAAACTTGATACAGGCTGACTTCAGTTTTAGCATAAGAGAGCACCTTATTATTTATAATCATTACTGTTGTTGGGGACACTTTAAATCTAGTTCCTACGCTTAACAAAGTATCTTGTATAGCCATATACCACAAGAATATCAAAATATAGCCTTATAAACTCACCGGATGGTGTTCACCTCTATACGGTTTTGTTAATATCTTTTTTTCATCGCTTTTTCATCAATTCTGCTTAATCAATAAATATTTTCTTTGACATGCGTAAAAGTTTAGATAATTGAAAGTTATGATAGCTACAAAGCCATGGTTCCATCAGTAAACATTTTTTTCTGAAACAAAAACGTTCCTCCCATTCATATTATGAAAGTTTTCTTTCTTTCAACTTTCCATACCCCGTTGTAGACGAAAAGGCACCGATTATTAAGTGATAATAGAAATAATCAGAAATTATATACGCGCTTTTCTAAAATAAACAACTTGCAACAAACCGCGGTTAAAACCAACGCGTTCAAGCGATTCGAGTAACTGACGTCATCATCCCGTGTGTCATCTTGAACCATATTATAACCGCGGTACATAATACGGAAATTTTGGTTATCCGCTTGGATTTGATTCAGGTTTTCTACATAACTCGTGACCATGTGAAATAGACCGATGATCGGTAAAATAAGCAATTTGAGGTTAGAAAACTTTTGAATTTCAAGCTGAGTTTCTTCTTTCATTACTAATCCAAGACATGTAGTATTCCTTGTAAGGCCCTAGCACAGGTTTTGATAATAGTTTCTCTCACTAAATGTGTGATTTATAACTTTATTGAATGGAAAATATATATCGAAGGTTGCAAATCGATGGTGATGGTTAGTGAGTTCATCAAAAATAATATCTGACTGACAACAACGCATTGATTTCCGGGTAATATGGTCCATGAAATGTCAACAAAGCTCAAACCGCAAATACAGATTTCTCACCTGTCTGTATTGGGCGGTGAGTCTCTATATAAAACCCCTTGAAGGTACCATGTTTTATGGCGCATATCCAACATGCATCTGTTTTATTTTCTGTACAAAGTACGGTGTAGTACCGAAGGCTATTTCCATTGCAGCAGCTTTTAATACTTTTATGCGGAATGGTAGGTTTGAAAATGAATTTTTATCACTGCCTGTGGCTGATTTTCACCCAGTTACATGCTGTCAGAGTATTGCATCATGCACTGCACATACCTATCATGATCTAGGGAGGACCATTTAAAATTTGGAAGTTCAATCGGCTCTCTTTATGAACGAAACACAATATGAATTAAATGATCGCCACCGTCCCAACAGAGATCCGATTATTCCAGCTACTTTTTCGATTGCTTGGGCTTGCATTTCTGGTTAGCAACTTTGATTTCGTATTTAAAGAGAATAGTCCAACGGGTTCAAATCGCAGCTCCAAAGCGGTCAATCCACATCCGAATTTCTGCTGATTATTTGGTATAGAAAAACGGTACCCAAAAGTTCAACTGTGAAGTAGGCTCTGTAACAAGTTGTAAACTCCTGTAGACACCCAATTTCGTCCAAGGCAATTCCTTCATCTTCAGGAAAGACAAATTCGTTGACCATAACATTCTCTATTGACTGATACGATAATTCCTTGCGCATTTTCGGAGAAAAATGGCCCAATGATGCCGCTGTACTAAAAGTCACACCAGGCAGTCCCCTGTTTTAGATGCATTGGCTTCTCCTCGACGATATGTAGATTCTTTGGTCGCGAAATGCGATATTTATATCAGTTCTCATAGTTGTTGAGCTGAAAATGAGCTTCCCCTGAACAAACGCTGTTTTGGTAAAACTGATCGTCTCCGCAAAAGCACCTTTTATCCCATCGGGCGAATGGGATAGGTATAGGGTCCAATTCCGTGATTTTTTTCGGCGCTTATTTATTTTCGGTAGATCAATTCTGACAATGGTAAAACCAGTTGATTATTGTCACAGTTGAAATACAAGCGTCAAATAAATTTATTTTTCAAAAACACTTGAAAATTTGGGAACATAATAATTCATCACAGTGTATTTTTACCGGCACGGGTATCATGTAAAAAACCTACAAAAAAGGTCAAAAAAACCTATAAGATGTCAACTTGCAGACTAGATAGTTTTTAGGGCGCACAGTCATTCCACGTTTGCTCACTAGGATCGTTGTGAACGTCCATCTATGGAGGAATCACTCAACTAAGCTACGCATTATTGTTTGCATAGTTTTGTGTGGCTGAGTGATCCGGGTCTGTAGTTTTTATCTCTGAGAGTAAGAAGAAAGTTGGTTGAATAGCAAGATCACATCTGGATGATTATGTGTATTGGTCTGCATGTGTATAAAATCAGTGATATTTGCTGTGTGAGAAAATCATTACTGAATATGCCGAATATGACGGGTTATTTATATGTTGTGCTTTCTGAAGAGAGGTTATGTTCAAAGTTATAAATTACCAAAAAGCTGAGGAGAATAACGGGGAATTATCACCGCGCCCGCGTTGGGTGTAATTACTGTTAGCTTGTATATGGATTGTAATTCGACAGTGTACAGTGAATATAATTATTTCTTATCTCTCTCATTTTTTAAATTCAGCAAATTTGTATATGTAATTTCCAGAATGGATAAGAAAAAGTGGATGCGCTACTAATTTCTAGCTTTGAAGCTCAATTAAGTGTATTTGAGGCAAGAACCCAATGTAATTATCATCAACACATACAACTTACAGCTTAAACCTCCAGTAATGCCATCTCAGAAGCAGATTTTACATCACATCAAAGCCAAAGATTGATAACAAGCCTCATGACATGACAGATGTGCATCATCTGCCATTAATTACCAAATTTTTGCATCCGGAGAAATTTTTATATTTTGGCATGGAAGCTGAACCCGAGGGGTCCCCAGGCGACCCCTCTACTGCTTTGAGTGGAGTTCTCGCGGAGTGCAGCGCTACTTTGGAACATATTCCAGAAAACCAAAACGAGATGACGCCAATGATGACATCAGGGATGACACCGATACTGGAGAAGGAAAACGAGAACCAGAGACTTTTGAAGATAATTGCAGACCAAGCAGCCCATATTCAGAGACTGACTGACAGTGTGGAGTCACACTTTTAAGCTTACAAGTATCATTCATAAAACAGTTCCCAATGTTGATTCTTCCAAAACGGCAAAACGTAGACATAACAGCCATTCGAGTGACCTACATACTGAGACCGATGAAGACACACAGGGTGATCTTTTCACACCTGTGCGACGTCGCAAAGTGAGACTGCGCAAAACAGAATTTCCTCCGCTACCGACGCAATTTCCAAATAACAAACATTCAGGCAACCTAAAACCGTCTGTGTCTGTACCCTCTACCGCTTCTACAGGTCAGCCAAGGGAAAGACCTTTATCAGCATCCACACAGAGTGCTCCTCCTGTTATACCCCAAGTGCTGTCTGATCCATTGGCTGGCTGCAACTCATCTTCCTTGCCATCCAGCGGATCTCTAAACACACAGCCCCAATTGCCTCGGGAGGTGCGTATTACTCCAATCGTGTTGAGAGATGCGAGCAAATGGCGCACCTTAAACTATTTCTTTGTAGGTCTTGGTATTCGTATTGAACGAGCAGTCGCCGTTGACGCTGGGATACGTATCATCCCCAAAACCAAAGACGATTATCGCAGGATAATCCGTCTTTTCAAAGAGGAAAACATTCCTCATCACACTTTCCCTTTGCCCACTGAACTCAACATCCATGCGGTTATCAGAGGTATCCCAGCTTCAACCACCGAACAGGAGGTCAAAGGTGAGCTAGAACACGCTCCCTTTTACATCATTCGCCTAGAGCGCAACGGCGGGGTGCCCATGCCCTTGGTGATGGTGATCCTGCCTAAGACGGAGAAGTCACAGCAAGTGTTCAACGAGCACGAATTGCTGGGGCTCTCTATCAGAGTCGAAGTTCAGAAGAACTCTCGACTCATTGGGCAGTGTCACCGCTGCCAGAAGTATGGTCACGCACAGTCGTATTGCACTGCGCCGCCAAAGTGTCTAAAATGTGCCCAAGACCACATGACATATATGTGCCCTCAAACACGACAAGAGGTTCGCAGATGTGCGAACTCTGGGGGGGACCATCCGGCAAATAGTCCGACCTGTAGATTTACTCATAGGAGAAATCTACAAGTCATCGCACAAAGGCGAGCAAAGTCCTACGCGGACGCAGCAAGAGATGACACCTCAACTGCCCCTGCTGTTTCGAGCTCATCTACGACTACTCAAAATGTGGACCTAGCAACAGCGCTCAGGTCCCTACAGCATCTTATTAGTCCCCTGATAAGCGCCACTAAGACATTGCAGGCGATCTTTCCGCTAAATGGCTAGGTACAATAGCAGACAGCCTGAATTCATCAAAATTCTTTTCTGGAATTGTTTGGGTCTTAGGGATGTAACTAAAAAACGGGAATTTCATCAAACTCTTTTCGATGAGAACGTAGATGTAGCTCTGCTGCAGGAAACATTGCTTAATCCGGGAGATCATCTAGCTTTGCCGACGGGGTGACGGTTTGGCAGTGCTAGTAAAACGTGGTATTGTCTATTACAGAAGCACAAACGCTGAGATGCAGAGCATCGAGGCAACTTCCGTGGTAGTGAATATGACGGGAGGTATCTCGTTGAAAATCATATCGGTTTATGTCAGCTGTGGTGCCAGGCTGCAAGAGACGGATCTGGAAGTCCTGTTTGACTGCTCGGGTCCGCTTATTGTAGCAGGGGACTTTAACTGTAAACATCGAGCATGGCACTGTAGGTTAAATTCCACCAGTGGGATTCGACTTTACAACCATGTGATACGAAACGGCTACCTCATACACAGCACTGAGGAGCCGACTCACCACCCATTTAATCACCTTCAGGCACCAGATGTCATTGACTTCGCGATATCTAGAAACTTCTCGAATCATGTATGACATTTCGAGCGATCATCTTCCTATCGTACTGGAAGTGGGTAATGAGCAAACCTTGGAAGGGGAAACTCTTCCAAGGAAAAGGGTTGATTGGGAGCTATACAAGTCGCTCCTTAGAGAGTTCCCCAATATCCCGATCATAGATGATGAGAACGATATAGATGCTGCTCAAGCGGAGTGGACAAGTTCCGTTCAGCAAGCTCTGCAGCGTGCAGCTTTACTACCAGTACGACGACACGGCAGACCTTTTCTCCCTGCAGACATTCGTCAGAAAATTTCTGACAAAAGAGCTGCAGTTAAGCAAGCGAACAGGTCTTGCTACCCAGATGACAATCACAGAGCAACGAATCTTGTTCATGAAGTGAGAAATACTCTTCATGAATTCTGTAATGAGCAATGGAGCGACTTTCTGTCGGGGATGCTTGACTCGAGTATTCCTCTCTGGAAAGTTGCAAAGTCGCTCAGAAACGGAAAGCGAGAACAACTCCCGCACATCCACGGTCCTAGGGGCGTAGTCTGTAGGACAGAGGAAAAGGTCGAGGTTTTCGCTGATGCAATGGAAGTCAGTTCTCTCCCAACTATGACCTTGATAATGACCTCGACGAGGAGCAACATATTGTAAGATCCGTCAGGAGATATTTTATGGCCAACGGCGTCAGTGGCAGTAGTGCCTCCCTTAGTGATTTCTCCTCAGAGGAATCTTCAGAAGATTCCTCAATTGAAGAGCTGTACGGCACATCAGCGGAATCTCCTGAGACTCCGCATTGCACACCAGCAGAGCTCCAAGGTCATATTAAAGACCTCAAGGTGCGTAAAGCACCTGGAGAGGATCGAATGACTAATAAGGCGCTGAAGCTACTTTCGCGGAAGTCCTTAACTTATCTCGTGGCAATAATCAATGCCATGCTAAGGACCCAGCACTTCCCAACGGCGTGGAAGACCGCTGATATCATAATGATTCCAAAGAAGTTGGGTTCGATATTCCCCCAGGATTACCGCCCCATTAGTCTACTGTCAGCTCCTTCTAAGCTCGCTGAAAAGGTGATTCTACGTCACCTTGAAAATTTCTCGGCAGACTACAATGTGATTCCTAACGTGCAATTTGGCTTTCGGTCTGAGCATAGTACGGAGCTACAGGCCATAAGGCTTGTTGAACGAGTAACCATGGGGTTCACCCGTAACGAAAGTACTGGCATCTTGCTACTGGATGTCTCAAAGGCATTTGACAATATGTGGCACAAGGGCCTTCTCTACAAATTGATCCATAAGGGCTTCCCCTTCTGGCTCCTAAAACTTTTGAAATCCTTTTTTGAGGGTAGGAAATTTCAGATCAAAATTAATAACGTTCTCTCGACAACACGGCCCATCAAAGCCGGTGTTCCTCAGGGTTCGGTTCTTCGACCAGTCCTTTATTCACTTTTTACTCATGACGTCCCTTGCCCCAGCAGCTGTGAAACCTATCTCTATGCTGATGACACTGCCCTGGTGACCCAGTCGTGCTCTGGGGATCTAGTTCACGACAGGCTGCAAAGTGCAGTGGACGAGGTATTGGAATGGGCGAATCGGTGGCTGATCAAAATTAATCATTCGAAAACGCAGGCAATCTGTTGTACTAAAAAACGTAGCGGCGCCCCGTCTGAGGTTTTAGTGAGTGGAGCTCGCGTACCATGGGAAAGCTCTGTTAAGTATCTCGGTGTCACTCTTGACAAGGGGATAACCTGGCAGAAGCACACTGAAGCGTTAAAAACTAAATTCCATATCTCGTTTCGGCAACTCTACCCTATGCTACGCAGAACATCAAAATTAAGTTTGATCAACAAAGTTCGGCTATACAAGATGGTTATTAGACCAGCTATCACTTACGCAAGTGCGGCTTGGTGTTTTCTCGCCAAAACGCATTTGCGTAGCCTGAAGCTTTGCAGAACTGAACCTTGCGTACAATCACTAACGCCCCATGGTATGTTTCCAACGAGACCCTTCACAGAGACCTTGACATCCCTGACCTAAGGGACTACATCAAACAACAAGCGCAGCTACGTTACAGTCAAGCAGAATCGCATAACAACCCTTTGTTGCGCGAGTCAGTAGACTACACAGTCGAGCAAGTTCGCAAGCATACAAGGCCGCGACTCGCACTGTGAACAACATTAAATCGTGCGACTTTAGGTCCAACCAAAATTATAATTTTTCTTCAACAAACAATCCCAAAATTAATTTTAGGATCAATTTAAAATTGCCGAATACTAACTAGCAATGCCAAGGCACCCCTCAAATTGATGCACTTCTTTTTTCTTTGCTCTCCCTCCTTCCTTTCTTCTTCCTTTCTTTCTCCCTGGCTTTGTTTGGTATCTGGGCAACCAGACCTGGCAGACCTACTGACTTACAAGACTTCAACCAAGAGCAAAGGTCCTACGGACCGTTCTGACAGACAATGACGAATAGTGTGCCTCATGACGTTTAGGGAACACGTACAACTAAGTGCTGAGTTGATATCTTGTAGAATAACCTACATAATGTCCAAAAAAAACAGCATAATGTCAAAAAAAATCGGCATAATGTCACTTTTCAAGTTACGTGATACCCCTGCTGGGCGATCACTGACATCATCATTGAAGGTCAAATACGGCTTACATACAGGGTGTCACACGTAGAATCGCAGCGATCGATTATTCGATATACAGGGTGTTTCAGTTTATTGTTGCATAACTTTAAGATTCGATAGAACATTTAAAATTAATGCATAAAGTCTATATAAACATGGCTCGAAAAATGCGTGGCTTCCGAAATACAGGGTATTTAAATTTACTTTTTAAAATAGTTTTTTTTTTAATATTTCGAACAATATTTGATGTATAACAGTGAAAATTGGTATACAAGGGTTTTTGGTACGACAAAACGAACCATGGTCATAGTTTTACTGTAGCCGCTAGAGGGCGCTCTCTACTGTACCTGTAGTGTATTAAAATGATCAAAAAATTTTTCTTAGTGCAATTTTTTGCTTTTTGAATCAGAAAACTGATTCTTCGCACTTTTCTGCATAAAAAAGCTCTCCTGTGAGTTTTCGTTATATTTAGCCGTTTTTGAGATATTTCGATTTTTAAGGTTCGATGCATTTTTAATTATTTATGGGAAAATAATATTTTTTTACATTTTCGATTTGGGCATTACAAGTAATTAAGATGATCGTTTATATTGTGTTTTTAAACACAGCAATAATTACTAACTCCAAATAAACACAAAAAAAAACAGAATATTAATTTGTTTAATTTTCCAATATTATTTTTAACAAATTAAATTAATTATTTACAACTAAAATGCTATTGGATAGTTAGGACAAACATACAAAATCTAAAGTAGTTGCTCGAAATGTAAACCCAATTGTTCAATACACAATTAACATCTACGAATGATCGAACGTGGTATAGCATTATTCAAATAAGGCCTTATTTCATCACATGCATTCCTGATTCTGTCTATTAGCATATCTCTTGTGGTTACGGGAGTCTGGTACACTTTTTCTTTTAGAAATCCCCACACAAAGAAATCTAATGGATTTAGGTCAGGGGGATCGTGGAGGCCAGGCGACTGGTCCTCCACGGCCGATCCATCCTTCTGGATAATTTTCGTCCAGCCAGTTTCTAACTATTCTTGAATAATGAGCTGGACAACCATCAAGCTGGAACCAGGGCAATCTTGTTACATCTAACATAACATCATCCCACATATTTGCATGTTCAGCCTTTAAAAATTCCAAAAAGGTCGCAGCAAAAGGTAGGGTCCAAATAGTCGATTACGGTAGATACCAAGCCACACGTTCACACTAAATTCATGCTGAAAATTTCTTTCCCGAACTGCATGCGGATTTTCATGCGACCAAATATGTTGATTATGAAAATTTACCACTCCACGTCTAGCGAAGCATGACTCATCGGTCCATAAAACGTTACTTAAAAACTCCCTAACATTATCAGTTCTATCAAGAATCCACTGATTCTTCGTTCTCCGTCCCCTGGCTGTAGTCCTTGCACCGGTTGCAAATGGTAAGGACGTCTATGGTCATTTCTAAGAACACGGTGAACATGGCTTGCTGAAATTCCCAAGGCACCAGAAACTCTCCTAACTCTTGTGGTCGGATCTCTATCAAACTCACGCAGAATCATACGGGTAAATCTGCGCTGACGAACATTTATGTTTTGATCCCTTTGGAGATTTCCAAAACCATTTTCAATTATTTGGCGATGCACTCTTACAAATACTGAGCGAGTTGGAAGTCGTCTGTTTGGAAATCTTCGTGCGTTTTCTCTAGCTGCTTATGCTGCGTTTCCATTTACAAAGCCATACACAAAATGAATATCCGCTAACTCTTCATTGGAGAATAAAAATGGCATTTTTATAAAACTTACAAAAAAAACAGGTAAA